GTCACGCCCTGTGGGACCCTCGCCGGCAGCTGGGGATCGAACTGGCACTGCAGAGGCTGCGGGCAGCTTTGCAACCCAGCGCTCAACTGCTGCGCCACCGGGGAGGCCCCCTCAGTGAATTTTTTAATCTTCAATCTTTCCTTGTAGGTTTCTATTTTCTAAAGCATATTTAAAAGATATAATGCCTAAGGATTGCCCATGCCTTAAAGAAACTGCACAAATACAGATATTTGTGACGAAGCAATACTATTTCATTTTGCATTTTATAATGAGAACAATCAAATGTTTTAAAAGTTTAAGATCAAATTATCCATTATTTATTATTTGTCTATTATGTAGAAGATTTTTTAAAAGCAAGAAAGTCAACAACTAGCAAGGATGGTTTATTAAGGCATGAATTTGAAATAGATCTCCCAGGGATAACAAATCCAATTTATATTATGGGAAAATGTGAAGAGTCATTAATTCATATTATGCTGCCTTGCTATTCTATTAACGCATGCAAAAATAAATTCTCTAGTCACCATTTTAATTTTAACGCAAGCAGCAAGATATTAGTGCAGAAGCAGGAGTTCAAAAAGCTAATAATAACCCGAATGTAGAATAATTTCAAAAGAACCCAAACAACAAAAGGCAGTGGAAAGTGAAAATTCAAATGTAGTAGACCATTATCTGAGTAGAAATCCGTTGTCATTGTCCTCCACTAAAATGACACACAAATTGCTGATGCAAAGTCTATGTCCTCTATGGTGGGACTCAATTTGTATCAAAACTTGGTGGGTCAGCATTTCATCTATCCTTTCTTTTTAAAATCCCACACTACAGAAGGGCAAAGGGTAACACATTTTACTGTTAAATATTATTTGCGCCCACTGGAAAGCTGCCCATTCAAAAGTGTCACCCTGACAACTCACACATGGCTTCTAACTTCTGATAGAAGTTTTCCCTGCACAACCTCCTCCTGCAGAATTCTGTGCACTAACCACATGGTTAAAGGAAAGCAAGAGGAACACTATTTCAAACTATAAATACTTGTAAGCAGCAATTCCAAAGCTAAAATAAACTCTGTCCACTGCTTTGTTTGTATAACGGCTCTAGCAACACACTTTGGTATCTGTGCAGAAAGCAGTCACCCAATGCTGCAGCATTCTACTCTGCCCACAGGAAGATAGTTCAGACAAACCACCACCACCACCACTGCCACAAGCAACAGTGGTAAAAGCCATCTTGCCCTTTGGCAGTGTCACCCTCCTTGTGTTCACTGTCTGCAATAGCTTGCATATCTTCCCATCCCTGCACATGTCACTCTGTCCACTGTAACCAAGTAATGCAGAAAGAGTATCCCCACAGGTCTCATCCCTTACCAAATGAAGGGGAATTCACCTGCCTCTACATCTATGTTACACTGTTTCTACTGCCTGTCCATAAATACAGACTATTAACAGCTTATCAGTATATATCTGTCACACAAACAAGAATATGAGTGAGAGAAAAGACACAGATAGAAAGAGGCACATAGAGCAACTGAGACAGGGACACATATTCCTTGTATCCTGCAAACAAATGCAAACTCCTGTTGTTAACTGGCAGCTTTCGGGACAAGTGAATCACGTTTTGTATATCACCCTGGCGATTTACAGCCCACTGGTTTCACAGCAGTGACAGACCATTCTATGAATTTCAGAGAACAATTCATTGTCCTTGAGACCACCTACAACTTGCATGTATCTGCCATCACTCTAAGTTACATCAACTCAGCGTTTCCATAAATTCACTTTCTACACATAAAATTCATAGGCTATTGCAAATTATTTGATCGATTCAGAAATGCCTTGTGTTTAAAAGTACTGGTTATAAAATAATTGATGAGTATTTTTTTAATTTCTCAATGTATGAAAGTCCTTTATTTTAAAAGGGGGAATATTTCCAAAAGCGAATAGGATGTTTGAAGAAACTGGGTTGTGTGGCCAGTACTTGTATTGTTAGTGAATGTGTGTGATACACTGTAACTGAAAGTACAAATTAGGGGGCAATTGGCTTGAGAATGGATGTTGAAATGACTGTCCTTTCTTAATTATAATTTGAACATAAATGGTTTTGATTCTCTTTTAATCCTTCATTTGAGTGATGGGACCAGCACAGAGAAATACAGGATATCAAAAATCAAATTCCATGTTAGAAAATCTCAATTATAAAAATTAAAAATAATAAAGCCTTAGTTGGAACCTAAAGTATTAAAACAAATTCTGTTTGTTAAATGTAGAGGGATTAATCAAAGCAAGTTCCATCAGTATAAACTGATTTACTTAATTCAAACACTTATTTTAAGACACAAAGATAATTTTTATAGCTCAAAAATGATTTGGAATTAAGAGAAAAAAATGTTAAGGTAGAAAGGGCAGAATGAGTTTGAAGAGAGTGGGGTTCTGTTTCTGTCTGTAAGCATTCAGTAAGTTACTTAATTTAACTTCAAATTAATTCTTTTGTGCATAAAAACAAAAGTAATCGATAAGTTGATTTTTAAAAGCTTCTGGAGGGACTACAAAGATTAAAAGGGGAGTATTTTGTAACTTTCCAAAGGGTCTTAAGGAAAAAAAATCACTAAGCTAATTAAGGCCATAGTAATTAAATAACATTCACTCAAAATAGTACTATTGTAAGTATTATTTGAATTTAAAATTTTTACCCATGACATTCCCTCAAAGAAGGCTCTGAGTAATGTATTTCAAAAGTCTAACTCTAGTAGATTTGATCTCAAACAGAGCAGTCTCTGTTATAACAGATCCTCTAACCATGTTCTGGGTCAATGCTGGGAAGACCCAAAGGGAGGGGCATTGGCACCACCCTCACTGAAGAAAGAAAGATCCTGCCTAGTTTCCCATAAGCAATGCTAACACCCTGCCACAGCAATGAAAATTAGGAATTGAAGAGAAACCACGAATTATGCTAAAAAAGGTCTATACTTTGGAAAGTAGAGCACCTTTAAATAATTTCCATGAATTAAAATGGAGAATGGCATGGGAGTTTCTCCTAAATTTTAGGAGTTTAGGGTTCATATTGTTTTTTTAAATACTGTTTTAAAAACTGGTTTTCCTTTCTTCAAACTAGAAAACCTACCACATTTATTCCTACACAAAAATTATTTATTATGCCTAAAGACAACTACAGACACAAGTGAAACAGTAGGAAATATAAAAATAAAATGAAAATTGAAAATGTGTGAGTTGTGCTTTAATATATGAATGATAAAATTGATAGTTTAACTACAAAATCATATTTACATCTTAAAATTTTTTCATTCTCACCGATGACTGCAAAATCAATGTTTTAACCCTGAATTCTCCTCCAACTTCCACAATTATAATTCCAGCTTCCTGGTAGACATTTCTATCTAAATGTCCCATATATGCCTCAAAGTTTCCCTGTCCCAAGAATAAATCTACTTTCCTCCAAGATTCCCTTTATGGCATCATTTTGCTGTCAATCATCCAAGCCAGGTATCTGAGCATCCCAAATTCTAACAACTCGCTTCCCATGCCAAATCAAGCATATTCTAGCTCTTTCAAATTTCTTTCTCTATTCCTGCTTCTACCCTAATTCCAGCTCTCCCATTCTTCACCAGATTGTTACAAAATGAGTCTTCCTTCAATTTTGCTCACATCCAATTCATTCTCTACATCCTCTCCTACTGTGCACCTAAGGTGCCAATGACTTCCAGTTGAAAACACATTGCCTGTGCGCTTTCTCGTGCGCTCGCTCGCTTTCTCTCTCTCTCTCTCTCTCTCTCACACACACACACACACACACCCACACACACAAACCCTTGCCTATGGTTTAACAAACTGAACAAATTGTTACATTCACGCACAGATTTCACATCCCAAACCCATTGTTCAGGCCTGCAATAGCTTCTACCACAGCCTTCTCTTCACCTGGCCATTATTCATTCTTCAAGGGACATTCCAGGGGTGACCTCCAACAAGTCTGTGTTTACATACACAATCCTCTGCCCCCAAGTACATCAGATTCTTTTTCTATTGTTTAATATACTCTCGATATACCATACCGATGTCATTCATATCTATGAGTCTCTGTCTTGCAGTTGACAGCTATTCCCTGAGGGTAAGGATTTATCACTTGGCTTCTTGAGATCCTAGTTTACTGAATCACACTGACAATGAATCAAACTATAGGAACAAACAGATTGAAGGGTGTGAGAATATTTTGGAGAATTATAAATGAGAATAATAACTGTTCTTACTTGTGCAAATAATACTTCCTGGTTTACAATGTGCTTTCATTTCAGTTACATGTTTGATTCTTAAAACAATTCTAGGGCCTCCCCGGTGGCGCAGCGGTTGAGCGCTGGGCTGCGAAGCTGCCCGCGGCCTCTGCGGCACCGGTTCGATCCCTGGCTGCCGAACGAGGGTCCCACATGGCGCGCAGACCTCTCCTGCCGCCCGCTGCTCCCCTCAGCAGTATACTTCGTCACTCTGCCTGTTCTGCTCCCCGCTCTGGCTCTAGTGAATTCTCTCACCCTCCCACGCTTCTGACTGTACCCAGTGCTTGTATAAATAAATAAATAAATAAATAAATAAATAAATAAATAAATCTTTAAAAAAAATAAAAAATAAAACAATTCTAGAAGACAGGATAAGGCAGATATGAAGGTTGATACAGAAACTAAATACATAAGAAATTTGTCTGAAAAGAAAAATGTCATTGATTTTCTGTGGATGTGGATGTGGATGTGTGTTCAAATAAGTCTTCACAGATCAGAAGCTACAACTTCAAATAAATTCCTATTTGGTCAAAACCATCCACTAATTTTCTTCCATAACTACTAAAACATTCTCTTGGAAAAGAAAAATTCCCAATTTTTTAATAAAGAATTTTCAGTGACACATTCCTCTATGCACTCTTTTCCATGAAGTAGCTTTTAGATGATAGACCAGCAAATTTAGGCTTCTGAAGATTCAGAGAATGAGTGATTCACTCACCTTCTGAAGATCCACTGCACCAAGAATCTTCTGAATGTTTCGCTGATTTTTGAGGCTGCCCTCCTCTCTCAGAATAGTGTCAACAGTTGAGAGCAATTTTGGTGAGAGTCTTCAGCCAACAGGAGTAGGGAGCTCTGAAGAAGAATACCACAAAGATTCCTGAAGAGGAGGGAAAAATACAGAACATTGTAAGTTGTTTTGGATTAATTAACTCTATTAAGCTGAGATCTCATTCTGCTCTCTACTAAAGTTGACATGGGGGAACTTAATACATATTAAATTCCATAATTAACTTTAGCCGGGTATTACCCTAGTTGAGAACACCAATGTCTAAGAAAGGTTAAGCAACTGAATGGCAACAGGTAATGAAAAAAGGTAACATAATTCCAATTACATTTTGGTATAGAAGACTGAATGACCCCTAATAGCAGGAAACAACTGTGCACACAAATGAAAAATGAAGAAGAGGCATCTGATCTTATTCTACTCTAATTCTTCATGGGAATACATCATACTTTACAATCACATCAACACACAGGCTGCAGCTGGGAAGAATCTAATACAGACTGAAAAGAACAAACAATGAAAAACAAAGTATTTGATCAAGGTTGAGGATGTCAGAGAGGAACTCAGCAACGCAATTACATTTTAGAAGTGGCTTTGAAGGCAGTGAGAAAAGAAGGCATCTGGGAATAAAGGAGTTGCTGAACACACCATTGTAAGAAAACAAGCATAAGGTGAAGGTAGAAATACACAGAATGAAACCTTAATTAAATTGAAGCCGACGAACAGACATGTTTGAATAGTGTGTTTAACACCTCGCTTTTATAAGAAAAGGCAAAAATCACAGCAAGTACTGTTCAGAAAACCTCTTTTGAACCAGAACTTGGGGGTCAGTCTGTATGGAGGAGAACAGAAGCTGGGACTTGTAGACCTTCCTCCATCATCAATAGTATAACATTGAGCTTGCTAAGTGCATCTCAACCCTGCTATATGTGAGCACCACTGGGAGAGCTTTTAAAAATACTGATGACTTGAGGTATGAACCTATTCTCCTAAATCACATACAGCATTGTAAACCAATGCTACATCGATAAAAATAAATAAATAAAACCAAGGTTTTAAAAAGTATGACTTGGCCCTATCCAGGTCATCTAAAACTCTGACACATTAAGTTATGCTCTCAGGTGGGATAGAGCCTAAATTTGCCCATTTTTTCAAAGAAGAGGAAGTCAGAGAAGTTCTTAGACTCAGCTAGCTCTAACATTCTGTCTTTATGCAGATAACTAAGTTTGTTGAAAGACAAATTTAAATGAATAGTGTTCAAAATTTAAAAACCATACTAAATTCGAGGAAACTGAAGGCTTAGAGAGGTACAGTAACACGCAAGGAGCATCCAAGCACAGTAGCAAGAACAGGGCAGAATTCAGTCTTCTGGGGAGGGGTGCTGAAGTCAGCACTGTTGCAGGCTGGGCTGGGTCTCAGGGAGACATGGAGTCACAGCACTGACAATGACTGAGGCCATTGGCTGGGGAGGGGGTGGGGGGCAGGGGGGAGCACCTCCCCTATGGTAATGATAAAGAGAAAAATAATCCTATTAGTTAAATTACTAAGCACTCTGCACAAGCTGGATGCTGTGCTAAGAAGGGCTTTACTCCTCCCGGTGCTCTCTGACCTCAACTATTATTATCCCCAGTTTATAAATGCGGAAACTGAAGCCAAGAGACCTTAGTCTTGTCTCCAAAATAGTGAAACTAGAATTTTAACAAAGTTATTGTCTCTCCCAATCTTGCATGGTTCTGGGAATGTAGCTAGCAGGCATCTGGAGGCAAGGCTGCTCCGCCCTATAGCTGTTTGGCCTTTTTTTTTGTCACAAAGCATTCCCATGCTGGAAAGCGGAAAAAGCAGCAGCATGGAGTTTTTCTGGTACTTTCAGATTTTTTTCAAAGTAAATAGCTAATTTCTAGTTGGCAGAAGACTAACATTTTATGGAATGATTTTTATCCTCCCCCTCATTCCCCCCCCCAACGCTACACACACACACACACACACACACAGTTTCAATGGTGAGATTTAATTATACTACTTTGGGAGTTTCAGTACAGGTAATTATCAGAAAAGTCATCACTGAAATCAGCCCTAAATGACTTAGTCATCATGACAGGTGAGCTTAAAGGCCTTACTGAAATCTCTGGAACATCATTTACAGTTCATTTGGAAAAAATTTACCAAACACTTCTGCACACATCTTAAAGATGTACCATTGCTGCAGTTTGCTAGTCCATTACACTGACGTTACGTAAATTATTTTCTTTCTTTAAATAGCATTGCTATTAACTGTAATAAAATTTAATTCACAAATATCCTACGTGCTAAATATATTTTATTTAAGAGGCTAATGCAAAAATATTATAGTTTCTAATACCTTAGGCATATCCTAATTATAATGTGGCAGAATTATCTTCATGGCTCATTTTAATAATATTGTAAAAAAGATGGTTTTCATTAAGACACTTTGGAAAGACATAGTGATAATAAAAATAAAAACCCATTTTTGGAATTATAAGGGCCCTGGAAGATCATCAGATCCAATTGTCTCTTTACCTTTGACTGTTTTCTTGATTGGACCCTGTTGTGTAACCATCCCAGGCCTGGTAGGTTCACGGTCCGTTCTAGCGATCTGAAGAATTCTGGAGCACTTGGCAATATTTTCGCAGGTTTTAACGGTAAGTAGGGGAAACAAGCGAGCGGGGAGACAGCAACTTGAGTCTCCCTGCAAATCTCTATGCAAATCTCTTTTCTCTGGGCTTTCTCTTGTGACCTCTTGTGTCCTCTTCCCTTCGTAGCTGTCCCTCATCCTCTCCTAGCTATGCCACCACTGCAGTCTCTGAGTAACGCTACCCTTATAGCGCTGACCTCCAGGATCAGGTGTGCACACTTGCACATGCGCATGCACCCATGCTCAGGTGTCCACAGTCCATAGTCAGGAACGTGTGCCCCACGCCCAATCACCCTCTGCGTTAACAAGATCAAGGCCGCAGGTGAGAGCCACAGAGACCAATGGTGTAAAAGCCTGACCAGCTTCATTTACCCTACAGACCCATTTCTAACCCTCACCCATATTTGCATTCTAGTGTAAAATCCTCACAGGCCACTGTTCAGAAAAGGGGGGATACACTGTTATTTTAGTAGAGGTAGCCAGTGATTGGGCCAGGAGTGAACACCTGGCTCAAGAGGATCCCACAAAAGCTGGAGGGTCTCCCCTGAGACAAATTGTTGCAGATTTCTATCCTAGAAAGGAAATGATAATCAGTCAAGACAGTCGAGCTAGCTGTCTCTAGGATTTGGACTGGATATGAGGAAGCAGAGGAGAATCCATTGAATATGCAAAAGTATGCAGAAAGGCCGGAAGAGAGACCATGGGCAAGAGGAATAAGTCCCTAAAGTTGCCACAGACTCTGATGACTTCTCACTCTCCAGATTCAGACAGGAGAGCTCTGCACTAAGTTTCTCCTCCTTATAGGGTGCTCAGAATGAGTCTCTGTTCTGTGATAGTCCCAGAAGTCCAATATATATGTTCTAAAATTATAGCACATCATTTATCAGTTTTTCTGGTTGTAGGGTAAATAAAAGGTATCAGGCTTTTCTTCCCTCTGGCCATTAGGATTGATGATGGATCCTGGCGGTCCTGAATGCATGCCTGATGGCGGGCACCTGGAATAGGGTGTGGGCATAGGTAGACAGGATTCACCTGGACTAGGACTGGTCTTATAAGGTCTGCGTCACAGGGACGCCAGCGGAAGAACAGAGCTTCCAGCAGAGAGGAACAGCACAGCGAAAGAGCAAAAGGAGCAGATACACAAAGGCCATGAAAGAACGCTGGAGTGCCCAGAAAGAGTGAAGACCTGCTGATAGGCCTGCTGATAGGCCTCCTGGCCCCCCAGCACCCCTGCCCACCATGTACCTGGTAAATCCCAATAAAAGCCTGCAAAAGCTACCAAGGGCTCCAGGACTCTCTTCTCCTTTACCTCATCTGCTCCGATCATAGAGAACCTGCTCTATGCCCCTCCTCCTGTTACAATGGTACAGATGCAAATCAATTTGACAACATATTCCTCATTTCTTTGTCAGTACCTTTGTTAGAACCAAGGGAAGCTTTATTTTCATCCAATAATATTTCACCATTTCAGGATGGGTTTGTTATTCCAAGCTGCCAGAAAGTTTGACTTACCACTGTTTCCATATTTCCAAATTCCTTGTTTCCAAAATATTGTTATGTCCTTCACCTTTCATGTTAACTACAAACTATGCAAGTATGCTATCTAGAATGACATTCATGTGTTAATAAAAACACTGAACACTAGAACACAGAGAAAATAGTGGTATAAATATGCTGAAATCCAAAATGTTAATAAATAAATGAATCTATTTTAGTGCCAAGATCATCAATTAATAATCAGCAATCTCCAAATTGGTTGCAAATCATCCTGAAGATACAAATAGCTCCATAAACTGACATGACCAAGAGATTCATTTAACAGATAAAGGTTTTAACATTTACTTGACAGAGATGGAAAAACCCAGAAGAATTAGGTTTCAGCATCATTAGATAAAATTAGGCCATAGTTGAGATAATTGGCAAAATGAACTTTGCAGTGAGAGTAATTACCTGTGCAACAGATCAAGAAGTTATGTTTGGGAAACATACTGCAAAAACAGCACCAAGTTAGCCTCATTCTTCCCTGAGATAATCATGGAAATTAGCAGAATCTGTCATTTTAATTTATCTGGTGTATCCCTGCCAAAGGGAAATTGTCCTCCATAGATCTCACTCTTTGTCTAATTTGGCTTTTAGCAAGCTTTGTAGGATCTCTCCTAGTAAAAAGCTCCACACTGAAGGGCTCCTTAGAATAAACCCCCTCACACTGAAGTGTCTGCTTTGCTCAGTTCTTCTGTTTCCACCATTACTGTCAGGCTATGAGGGTATAATTTCTCATGGGACCGACCTCGAAAAACCCAGCCTATCCTCACCATTCTAACTCCTGCCCATAGGAGCCACAAGAAACATAAAGTTGAGGAAGTCTCTGGACCTCCCAGGGCTGACTCTGTATAAATGATGGCTGGCAAGCTCCAGAGGGAGAGCCTGATGAGTAGGCTATTACACCAAACCAAAACAAGACAAAGCATGACAGTATGTATAGATTTCACATAACCTCCATTGACCACACTGAGGCATTCTTGGCATGCTCCCTTTTCGTCAGCAGTATTGACTTGTAGTTTAACAAGTTAAGCAGTTTAACTTATTCGACAATTACTGCATCCCTTACCCTTAAGTTTGAAATTGGATAAGGCAATTCCAATGGTGAGAAGTTAAAATAACCAGTAAGAATAAAGTGAAATAGGAGCTATTTAAAAATGCTTCAGCTATATTTAGGATTTTCAGCATGGCCCCTATTGGGGTCAAGCTGTTAATTATAAAGTCTTTATTCTAGTGAGAAAAGGAAGAGTTTCATAAAACAGTACAGAGCAGTTTCTTCTAAAAAGCCTAGCTTTGCAAATTTTCCATTAGCAGACTCAATAGATGCCTTGATCCTAATAAAAAAAAAATTCCTAACATATATTCTTATCCTTTATCTAGTTGCCATGTTTCCTAGGAGCTATCACTAATGCTCAGTCATAACTCTCCAAAAAAAATATATATATACAGAGTAAAACAAAACTTACCCACTAAGGGCATGCTGCTGCCCTTGGAGCCACAGGGAACACAAAGCCTCAGTAACAGAAATTAGAGACGATGATGACTACATATGCCATGTTGTATGGCATCTTATGGTTTATTTTCATAGACATAACCTCACTTACTACTGAAAAGTAATTATTTTTCTAGCTATCTTAAAAAAAAGATTAAGAGCTATCTTAAAAAAAATTTTTTTTTAAAAGTCCAATGCAGGATGCCTCCCCTCCTGGTGGTACAAGGGGTGCAGCACTATGAAGCTATCCACAGTCACTGCAGCACAAGTTCAGTCCCAGGCCAGGGAGCTAACCCACACGGCTCAGTAGTCTTCTGCCTCACCCACTGCTCCCCTTAGCAGCGTATTTCAGTTAGTCTGCCTATTCTGTTCCCTACTCTGTCTCTGGAGAACCCTCTAGAACCCCCCAGCTCTTGTATGCATAAATAAACGAATCTTTAAAAAACAAAAGTCCAGTGCAGGTAGTTGACTTTTAAATGATTCATCAAAGATGGTGTCAACGCTGCAACTCCAAGGCGAGCTCTGTTGATTTTTAGTCCATGTTGCTTCCACCAACCCGGAGATGAACCCATTATGCAGGCAGATTAAATGACAACATGGAAGTATATATTGAGTACGTCCTCCATACTGGGTACTTCTGTAACTGGCTGGCATATATTTATCTTCACAGTAACTTTATGAGGAGGAGGATTTCATTATGCCCATCTAATAGATGAGAAAACTGAGCACAGAAAAGTGGGCCACTGGCTCACAGTTATATGGCTAGTGGGTGCAGAAGGGGGTAAACACCATAGAGCAGAGCCATCCGGAAGAAGTGTGGAGGAAGTCATTGGATCTGTTGCTAGGAAAAATGCTAAGAAAGTTTTGGAACGTTTTCTAGCATTTCCAGAACAGTGAGACTTTTCTTCTCTTGTAAATCCTGTGAGAAGATACTGGCATCAGAGATGAGAAAAAGACAGCCAATCCAAAAACAGAAGGAAATGCCATGTTTCCCTCCCCTCTGCCATGGCTATGGATGTGCAAGCGACTTGACAGCACGAAGAGCTTCCTGCGGACTAACACCACCTGCTGCTTTAATGCTTGCCATGTATATTTTCTGTTATTTCCAATTCCCTGGACAGCTCACCCTGATTAAGCAAAGCAGAGTGAACAGGCCCTTGACGTCCATGACCTCGACTGCCTGGGGGGCTGATGAGGTGTGATTTGGCAGTTTGCTGGGACACCAGTTTGAATCACACAAACTGGCAGTTGCTGGGCACCCGGACTTCAGTGCAGTTCCCTTATTCTGAAACTGTTTGAGGCATGAAAGGAGGGAGCCAGTAAAAAAGGAGGTGCTCCAGCATCCAGTGAGTGGCTTTCTTGGCCCAGATGTGGAGCTAAGGGTCCCCCAACACCACTTCTTTTAATCCTCACAATAATTGCATAAGGCAGGCCAATTTCTACATGGGCATGCTGAGGTACAAAAAAATCCAGTAACCAGCCCCCCAAAGCCAGAGTTTATCCATGTCAGATGAAGAGATTTCATCAGTTCTGTCTGACTCTTTGCTATGGCATGCCTTCTACACATCCGGTGAAGGTATTAAACAAGCAAACAAATAAGCAACACTCTGTGAGGAAGGGAAGACACTAGGTGAGACACTAGTTAATTCTGAAAGGCAGTTAACTCTAGATGGGTGGTATATGCAAAAACACAGAGGACGTGGTAGAATAGTCTCCACACAAAAAGCTAGGACTTCTACAAACCTTTCTGTATTCCTGAACTGAAAGATTTCACAGTCTTAGAAAGCAACCTCCATGGAAACTGCTGTGTTCATAGGAATTCAGTGGTAGGAGACACATGTCATAAACAGGGTGGGGGGAGGAGGAAGGTGGTGGGACTGACAGAAAAACATGAAGTACAGATAAAGTGCTCAGGAAGTCCACGGGAAGGAGAAAGTTCTGGCTGGGATAAGGCAGTAAATACTAGCAACTTCACTGAAATTTTAACAGTGAATAGAAGGTGAAAGATAGAATGCTAACTCTGGGGAGCTACAGAAATGAGAAGTGATTTTAGACCAGAGGAGATTGAAGCATATTCATAGGCTGAGAAGACAAAATGCAATAAAGTCAGAGAAAGAG